CCCCCCCATGACCCTTACAATCACAAACAACCAGAGGCCACTGCTCCGGTGCGTGTGGACAAGTTTTTCAAACAAGTGCTAACGAAACCGCAAAAAAACCCCCAGAAAAACACGTGTCGTAGTACGAAAATACTGTACAGCTTTGTAATTCGTCCAGTGTAAACAGATATTCACCCAATCGTGTGACAGTTCAGCTCAGAGAGTCAGAGTCAGAGTTCTGGTCCCAGAGAGAAGACCCTCGCACCGCACCCTCACAAAAAATATACCCTTTCTCTACAGGGTTAAAAAAAACAAAAAAAAACAACAGCTCTGGAGTTCAGCCAGCTGCCTCCAGCTTCACACACACACACACACACAACTGTGAGCGGTGGCGGTGCAAAGTTCAGCATCTCATCTTACCGCCTTTGAACAATGAACACATAAAGTCTGTATTTTAACAAGTGGTCCACAGGTGGTGGCGGCGGTATGGGGGGCGGTGGCGGTGGCGCGACCGTCCGGCAGTCCCCTCGCGCTCCGTTACACCTTCGTGGCCAGAGAATGGATCTCCGACTTCTCAGTCTGGGCGCTGAGCGTGGATGACATGGAGCTCATCTGGCCGTGCATGGCCTTCTTCAGGTTGAGCAGGCACAGGCACTGGGAGCGGAAGCGCAGGTCGAAGAAGGCGTAGAGGAACGGGTTGAGGCAGCTGTTGACGTAGGCCAGGCAGGTGGCGTAAGGGTGGGCCAGCAGCAGGAAGTGCAGGAAGCCGCAGGAGTTGGGCGCCAGGTTGAGGTAGGACAGGGAGTCCATGCTCTTCAGTACGTGGAAGGGCGTCCAGCAGATGGCGAACACCACCACCAGGGTGGTGATGATCTTCAGCAGCCGCTTCTTCTTCTGGTCCTCCTTGCGCAGGTTGTTGAAGTGGCGCGTGACGGTGCAGCCGATGAAGCAGTAGAAGATGGTCATGGCCAGGAAGGGCAGGAGGAAGCCCAGGGCGGAGGAGGACAGGCTGAGACCGGCGATCCAGAAGTCCTCGTGCCGCTGGTTCATGGTCACGATGCTGAAGTCCATGGCGCAGGTGGTGCGGTTGCTGTTCTGGTCGTTCACCGTGGTGCGGAACAGGAGCGTGGGCACGGCCAGGAGCCCCGACAGGAGCCAGATGGCGCCCAGGGACGCCAGCATGGTGCCTCGGGAGCGCAGCCGGCTGCTGGACAGCGAGTGCACGATGGCCAGGTAGCGGTCGAAGCTCAGGCAGGTGAGGCAGAAGACGCTGGCGTACATGTTGACCAGCACCACGTAGCTGCTCATCTTGCAGAGGGCCACGCCGAAGGGCCAGTGGTAGCCCAGGGCGGTGTAGATGGCCCAGAGGGGCAGGGTCACCACCAGGGTCAGGTCGGCCAGGGCCAGGTTGCCGATGTAGACGTCGACGGCCCGGCTCTTGGATTTGGACCGCCAGACGGTGAAGATGACCACGCCATTGCCCGACAACCCCAGGATGAAGATGAGCATGTAGAGCACGGGGATGAGGGAGTAGGAGGGCTCCCACTCCGAGAAGTCGCACAGCAGCGTGTCGTTGTCGTCGTAGTAGTCGTAGTTGTCAACGTATTCCGTAGTCTCCATGCCGCAAGGGAAAAAGGAAAAAAAAGAGTTCCGGGTCAGGTACGGTACAGGTCCAAGGCTGCTGCGGTGAATCAAAGTAGGGATCGGGGAGCCGCTGAGCTGCCGTTGCCGCTGCTGCTGCTGCTGTTGCTGTTGCTGCTGCTGCTGCTGGAGGGAGAGTGAGTGACTGTTGGAGCTGTCTGTCTGCCTTTTTAAACTCAGCCCCTCCACAGCCCTGCACCCCCGACACACACACGCTCACACCCCTCTCCCTCACCAACAGGTCTTTTGTCCCTCCCCCTTCTCCTCTCCCCTCCTCTCCCCTCCTCTCCTCTGGCTCTTCTCTCTGTGCGAGTTTAAAAAAATTTGTGGTCAAGGCTGAAAGATGATTAAAAGTGAGGCCAAAAAAAAAGTTAAAAGTTGGAACGTAACCGGGAAAACTCGGCCTTGAAAGTTGTAAAAAGAAAAAAAAATACTAGCTAAAACTTTTTGTTCCGTTTAAATGGTCTCACAGCGAACGTCATTAAAAAGCTAATGTAATGCATTGAATCAAAGGCAGTTAGCATGAAGCTAAATTTTAAAATTTTCAAGTCAGAGAAACGAAACCGAGAACTTTAAACTGAAATGCGAAACTTTCTCTGAAAAGTTTTTAACGAACTTAGTTCTATCTCTGTTTATATATGTTTATATATATTTATGTGTTTATATATTTATATATATGTTTACATATATCTATATGTGTTTTTATATATCTATATGTATTTATATATGTTTATATATTTATATATGTGTTTATACACTACCTGGCCAAAAAAAAAGTCGCCACCAAAAAAAAAGTCATACACTCTAATATTTCGTTGGACCGCCTTTAGCTTTGATTACAGCACACATTCGCTGTGGCATTGTTTCGATAAGCTTCTGCAATATCACAAGATTTATTTCCATCCAGTGTTGCATTAATTTTTCACCAAGATCTTGCATTGATGATGGTAGAGTCTGACCGCTGCGCAAAGCCTTCTCTAGCACACCCAAAGATTCTCAATGGGGTTAAGGTCTGGACTCTGTGGTGGCCA